TGCGTAGCTGTACGGATGGGGGGGGCGGCAACGGCCGCGAGAGTAACGGTCGAGCCGAGCGCCTGGGCTGGGACTGCTCGCAGCAAGAGAAGACAGTCAAGACACGTGGCAGGCTAGTGCATTACCCAAGAATAACAGTGCTTAGGTAGCGCTTTTTAAGCTATATTACAGGATAATAGGCCTTAAAAGCCATACGTGGTCATGCCTCAATGCTAATTTCCCTGAAAACCTTCCAGTCAGAAATGCAGAAGGTTGTGCTTGAGCTTAGGGAAGCCTGTTTTCATGACTAGCTGCTTTGGCTGTCAGCAGAAGATTTAAAGACTGAAGCACAATCTGGCTTTTCCAGTGAAATATTTATACATTTCGGTTTGCCAAGTAAGCGCCTGTTATTGTACTCCTGTACTCGGATCTTGCGTTTGTCATCAGTTTTATGACAGATGTAATGGAAATGCTTGATTTAGGTAGGTGAATTTGGCTTGTATTCAAGCTGCCAGTTGCTCGCTAGCAGAGCTGGCTCCGTTAGCGCGAGCTGCCGCTCAGCACGGGGACGTGGAGGAACAGAAAACTTCCAGCAAGGGGAACACGCACTGAGGAGTGTAGTAGGTCACTTACGTAATTCTGAATAAAGATCGACCCTGCTGAGTCACTAAAAACTGTCATTGTCTCCAACGGGTTTGGATCAGGCCGTAGCCAATCTTGAGTATGCCATGAGTATAAACTAACGCAGTGTAATTTGCTATGCTGGTTTTTCATCTCTCTCAAGATAGTTTTCTAGTTATAGTTGCAGTTATTCTTTCCACTAGCACGTTTTCTTAATTATTACCTTTTTCCTCCACATGTGTTTGTGCATAACACCGGGCAATCACTTAATATCGACTCTGGTTGTGTGAACTCTCTTCTCATCTCTAGCACAAATAAAATGATCCGTTCACAGCATATATTTCCCTGAGGTCCCGCCCGGTATTCTTCAAACGTTCTGTTGATACTGCTACTACTTTTCATGCTTTCTTAAGCTGTGTTTTCCAGGAAAAGATAACTATGCCATTATCCATCTTCAGGCTCTCTCCGGAACTTTGAGTGTTAATGCTGGGCTGCTTTATTTAGTCAATAAGATAATAATAACTAGATAAATTTTCACGGGATATCATTGATTATTTTTATTAGTTAAGTAAGGGAGTTGAATGTCAAACCCAGGGATCTGGCGACTGTTTTGCTGCCTTCTCAGCCACACAAGTCAATGAAGAGGAGTGTCAACTGCCAGCATATGAGGAAGTTCATAATTTTGTCCCTCGTGACAGAACGCCACACTGACAGCATTGCACGAGTAAGTTCATCTGAGTGTCAGAGTATCACAATGTTTCATGTCAAACTTCCCATTCACTTGCATTGCCATTTTGTGTCTGCCAAAAAGGCAGAATGAGCTCTGCGTTCAGAACACACAGCGTGTATCAGTCATTCCAGACTCCTTTTGCGACTTCGGTTTTATTTCCCCTGACTAGTTCCAAGGGTTGTTATTCATAGTATCTTGTCCAAAATTTAAGGTATTATTCTTGCACTACACAGAGTGCGTGGCAGGGCTCGGACCTAAAATAATTTCACGGCACGTTTAATTTAACTTTAAAGTCTGAAATACGTGTTGGGTGCTGTATATGTAACAGCTTTTCATACCTATCCCCTTTTGAAAGCGAGGAGAAAACGGATCTCACTTTAAACTACCCTAGATCTATTCCTAAAGGCTGCGAGAATACGACTGCTTCCAGCGCACAGCCACACCTAAAGGCACTGAAAAATGAAAGGGAAAAATACACCTGAGTTTAGCGGCAGTTCGCCGGCCAACTGCTCGGGCGCGCAGCGTCTCCCCCGACGGCCTCGGGACGGGGCGGGGGG